TTAAAAACTATAAAAATTGCAGTATATACTTAAGTAAGTCCGTTTTGCATAGGAAATCCAAATGTTTTCTAAAAATAAAATCATAATCGTGAAACAGAACAAACACAAACAGGGAAAGTATCATCCATTAGGATGTACAATTCTGACGCAATGGGAAAACCTTCGCCTCGCCCGACCTATCTCAAACTTTTGTTTATCAACCTTATTATATATATGAACTGTAACTATAAGCCGAGCTGATTGCCCGTCGTTTCTTTGTTGCTTTTTAAGTTGGGTGAGTCGTTGTAGCAAACGATTGCTGTAGTCATTTGGGCACTACACTAAGCTAGGACGTGAACATGTGACACTATGTCAATGTGTGTAGACCAGCGTCATCATTTTCTAGATGAGGCCGCGCTTTTTTTTGTAATCCTCCAGATTCAGCGAACGTTTGGAGACAGTTTCAGCTGGTTTGTTAGCCGGTTTGGGCACTGAATTCGTATTAACTACAAAAGACAAATTGTTATGCTCGTTGCTTAGCTGGAGGAAATTTAAGTGACATACCTGGCAGCGGAACATCTAGGTCGATGTCAAAGTCATGCAGTGAGTACAGACTGTAATCCTTGGAGTCCGTGGGCTTGACGCTTGCACTCGAAGTTCCTGCTTCGTTGGGCCTCTTCTTTCCTGGGGGTGGCGGCGGCAGGGGTGCCAGCTGCACGTCATCCTCGTCCTTCTTGGCGCCCTTGAATCCCATGCGCGGCTGAGTGATCCGACGTGTGAAGGGATCCGAGATCTTGAGCCCTTTGTTGGCCCGAGCCTCCTCTAAAATTGCCTTCTCAGCATCCTCCACATTTTTCTTCCTGTTCCGGTCGTTTATGTAGGAGATCAGATTGAGGGTATGTGATCTTCTTTTGTCGAGTTCAGAGGCTCGGTTCTCCAGCTCGTCGATTTGCTGTCCCAGATCCTGTGCGATGTCGTAGTCGCCTCGCAGCATAGCTGCATCTCGCTCCTTCATCAGGCAGGTTTTCTTCATTGCATAATTGGTGGGTCGGTTCCGGAAGCGGTTCTTCTCCTCCACGATCTTGTCCACGTCCTCGTCCTTGAACTCGTAGTTCAGTGCTTTCTTGATGTCGTTTTGCTTGATCGCTATTAAGTCGATCGATGGCATCTGGACGTGCGACTGCTGGCAAACCTCGTTCCATTTGTTGAACTCGTTCTCCGTGAACTCCTGGTTCGAAATGAACTCCAGTCGGAACACCCGCTCTTGGGTTCCGTGCTTAAGTCTCAACCCGCGATTGGTACGTGTGGTGCCCAGGCTGTAGATCTTCCCCGTCTCCACCACTCCCACAATTTCGGCCACTCGATACACGGGTTTCTGGCCATTGTTTCCGATGCTTATCCGGACAAAACAGTTGAGTACAGTGCTCTCAAAGATTGGCAAGTTTACAAATCGTTCCATTTTGTAGCGAGATAGACGCAACTTGTTAAGATCCTCGCGTGTGGTTATAAAAACGGGCCGCTGAGGCACCTTTTCTTCGTCCTCGGATTCGCTGGAGGCCTTGCTGCTGTTGGAGCGTGAGCGTTTGCCCGTGGGCTTTTCATCCTCATCCCAATCACTGCTGCCTGAGTCGTCTGAGTATATTTCAGAGGCTTTCAGTTTCACAGCCGATTTACAACCAGACACGCTTTCCAGTTCCTCTTTGTCGTCATCACGATCTTTTTCTGCCAGGCGTTTGGCTTCCTCTTCCTCTGCAAGGTGAATAGAAAAATGATTAGATTAGAGTGATATAAGGATTATGAATGATTTGCATACCTCTTTTGGCCTTGCCCTCTCTTTTGGCTTTTAATAGGGCCATGGCATTACTCCTCTTGTCGTCCGTCTTGTTGGCCTCCACGTTCTTCTTGCGCTCCTTGGAGCGCTCCTTGTGATCAAAGTAATCAGACACGCCAGCGGCGGAAGCCTGATCGTCAGGCATAATACTGGCCACTGCCGCTGAAGTGGAAGCCGCATCTCGGTTAAGGGCGGGCGAGGATAATGGACTCGCTGACCGTACTTCGTTGCTGGGTTTGGGTTCCACATCTAACAGCGTGGATGTGGAAGCTTGTGTTGGCAAGGGCGCCTGGGCTTCCCTGGCCTTCCTCGCCTTCTTCTCGCGCTTTTCCTTCTTCTTCTTAGCGCGTTCTCCTTTGTTCTTGGACTTTTCTTGGTTCTTTTCGCCGCGCCTCGCCAGCTTAAGCTTCCGTTCGATTTCCCAGCGCGTTCGCATAATCTCTCGCTGCTCAATGCGCTTGTAAATCTCAGTTTCACGCTCCTTTTCGGACAAGCCATTGAGACGCCTTCGATCCTCATCATCGCCCATGAGGTCATCGTCGAAACCGTCGTCAAACTCTGAGTCGGAGCTGGAGGACGAAGAACTAGAGGAGTCGGAGCCGGATGAGGAGGAGTTGGACTTGGACTTGTCAGAATCGCTGTCAGACACCTCGCCCTCCTCCTGTTCGCTAAGCTGGGCGGCCTGGATAGCCTGCTCCGGGGGCTTGTTCTCCTGTTGGGCCTGTGCTGGACTCTGCCTCGCTGGCTGGCCCTCGTCCTGACTGTCGTCATCCCAATTGGACTCCGAGGAGCTGGAGTCTCTACTGGCCTTCTGACGCTTTTTCTTCTTGGTGGCGGGAGCTCCTGCTTTGTTGTTGGCCCAGTCGGAATCGGAGTCGGAGCGGGAGCTCGACTTGGCCGCCGTTTGGGGCTTCTTCCGCTTCTTGGCCAGTGACATCAGGTCCTGGGGATTACATATAAGGTGTATTTTCAGTTTTTATATTGATTTTCGTTACATCGCAATATGGAGAAAGGGGCGCGGATGTGGGATTTGATCTGCTGAATCGCCACTCACCGATTCCAGATTGGTCTCCGACTCGCTGTCGCTATCGCTGGAGTTGGAGTCGATCAGGGATTGCGTCCGCCGTTTGCCCATTTCTGATCGTTTTCCTGGCCTTCACTTGCTAATAAAATTTAACCAAACCAGTACGAAAAAATTTTAGTGCGTGCCGTTGGAGATGGAAAACGAGTGCGATAGCTGGCTATCGGCCTATCGGTGCTTTGTCTGTCCGCGCTATGTGGTATCGATATGCTAGGGCTGGCAACTGATATCGCCGTATCGAACTGTCAGCTGTAAGCGCGCGCAAAGTATTTGATCCCAGGGAACAGATTTTGTGGGAACAGTTCGAATAGAGCTAAATCACCGACTAAAATATATTTCTTTTATAAATTGAAAACAAATCGTTTTTTATATTCAATTGTAAATCGTACAAATAATTTCTCTGTTGGAATAACCCTTATTTAGGATAAGAAAGAGGTTTAACCTAATAAAAAAATAGGAATAGGATTAGTAAAAAGAAAATAATTTAATTTACAAAACAATGAGAAATATGCATACATATATACATATGTACATATGTGCTCTAAAATGCTGAATCAGCTGAAATTCACTTAATAACTCGTCAATGCTTAAAATGCTTGACAATCATCGTTGAAGTCTGTATGCTAGCTCTGAGTAACCGACAGGAAGAGTCGTGTCTCAGATTGATTAATTTTCAAAATTCATCGCCTAAATTCAGACACACCATTTTAAATGATTTAGAACGCTTGTATGTTATGCGGCACCCTTAAGTAATCGGTTATTTTGAACTCGAGCGCGATTTCTTTTGGAGTTTTTTTGGAGACGGACAGGACGCGACATGACCTCCCACCCCCTGCCCACACTCACTGCGGGGAAATACCTTGCGGCTGGTGCAGCACGTGCACATTTTGCCGCGCTGTCGAGCGCAACACTGAATCACACTTAAAGCAGAGTTGAAAAAATACGGCGAAGCTGTTCGAGCAAGGTAAACAGAAGGATTGGGTGGGGGGTGGAGGAGCAGGGGAATGGAAATGCCGGCGACGGCAGAATTTAAATGCAAATTTTGGCATCCCCATTATCCCTATCCCAGCACCCCCCCTTCAATTTGCATGATGATAGCGAATGGCTGGGCGGGAATGCTGACTTTGTGTACCCTGTAATAGGCAAACATTTATCTGCACGGTGGTAAGTGGGTTATGCACTTGTTTGTGGCCCACGCAAAAACACATTTTGAAAACTAAATTAAAGCCACACCTGCTGCCCCCAACACACCACGGAAAATAACTTACAATCAATATTAATTAAAATGCAGGCGTTTTTCAGGTCCCTCGAGCGCGCTTTCCCTAAGTTCGGGTTGCCAAGGGGGGCGAAAGGGGTGGGTTTTTTTAGGACGGAGGGTGGAACACGCACCCACATACGAACTTTCATAATTCGCCTTAAATGCTGCGGGGCAATTTGCAGTAGCAGCAACAGCAGCAGCAGCAGCAGCAGCAGCAGCAGTTGTAGCAACAATAACAGCGCCATGAGGAAGCCCATTGCACATTCAACAAAGTGCACATTCTGCAGCAACAACGACTACGACTACAGCAGCAGCAATGCGACAGCTCATGAAAACAACCCACTCGATGCCACCGCCCACCCCAAAAACCATATTACAAAACAGTGAGTTCCCCAAGTGATGCACTAATAACTTGTTAGTACTTTCATTTGGAAATTGCACCTCAAAATAGGGTTTGGCACTTCAAAGATGCCTAATATGTATCAATACAACCCTTCAAAACATAATGAACATCATGAACATTAGTTTCTAAAATCCCGTAAACAATATATTTCGCCATTAATTTGTTGATCTGCGGATTCTGTACTACAAGGCCATTACCCAGCGACCCCTGTAGATGGATTTCGCATTAACCACCCAACCCCCGACGATCCACCCCCGAAATGCCGAGCTCAGAGCTTTCGAGCGCAGCTTTGGAGCATGCGCAGCAAAGCGAGAGAGTGAGGGCGGAAGGGAGGGAGAGCGAGAGTGAGAGAGAGCCAGAGCAAACGAGAGCGGCGGTTGCCCAAGGGGGTTGGCCATGGCCCCCGCTTTGTTTTTGCCATTTTTGGGTTGAAAGCTCTTGTCCGGCGGCGCTGTTGCGTTGGCGTTGCGTTTTTGTTGCGCCGGCTGTTTTGCCAAAAGTGGTAAGAAAGAGTGAGAGGGAGCGGCAAAGAAAAAACAATTCACTCGCGAGCGCGAGAGCGGCCATTAAAGCTCGGCTCACCTAGCTGTAAAAACTAGCAAAGTTCGCAGCTCAATTTTCGTGCGTTTTTTTCTTTTTCGCCAGTTCAACGAAAGAAGCTCGCGAGTGCGGAGCGAATAACGGTAAACGCTAGCTCCCATTACGGTCCGTCGCAGCATAGTTTAGTGTAGTGTAGTGTAGTGCTTTGGTGACCGTGTAGCGTAGTGTTTTCAAGTGAAGTGCAGACGGGGGTGGTTGCAAACAAAAAGCCCATAAAATACTAAACGCAAATAGGCAAGAAAGCAAAAATATTTAACACAAGTGTGTCGGTTCAGTGTTTTGTGGTGCGAAAATCTCACGAAAATAGGAAAAAAGAAAACAAGAGAAAAAATCCAATAAAAACACGGCCCGCTGAGCGTTGAGCCTCACATAACGGAAAAGGTGAGGAGGGGGTGGATGCACTGAAACTTCAGCTTGGACATAACTTAAAACTTAAATTAAATGCATTTACATTTGCATATCAAGTTATATTCAAATCATGAATGAAAAAAATTAACTGAACATAAAATCTATTTAAATTTTATTGTAATATAAAAAGTTATTCAAACATATGTTAATAGGTAGGTTTATAGGGTTTAATTCAATTCAATTGATTTTATGTCCGAATATTAAGTTACTTTTTTCTGAGTGTATTTAGGGTTTATGCTGCTTGAATAAACTCTATCTTTCCAAGACCACATCTTTTTGTTGTTAAAACAAATCTCACAGGGCAGCAAGTGACAGAGTTTTAGTTTTCCGCATTTTCCGCACTTTTTCAATATTTTTGTGCGGCCAAGCCGCGGGCGTGGCTTTCCCCCCTTTATTTTCCTTTTCTTTTTTTGGTTTTTGTTAGAAGGATGCGGCATTTCGTTTTCAGTTTTTGTCGGCTCTTAGTTCTACCCGTCTCTTTCTGGACCCGCTTGGCTGTCTCTTTCTGGCTGTTAATTTGTCGTGCATTTGCAGCTGGAGAAACAACGTCAACAGCTAACTGGGGAATTACAAAAACTCGCGCGTCCAAAAAGAAAAAACAACCAACAACGAGAGAATAAACTAAAAAGAAAAACAAGCGCGGAAAGTTGCTCGCTAAATAAAGGATTTTCCACCCAGCTGGAAAGTGTTGAGCGGGTGAGTTTGGGCCAAATGAATATTAATTGGCCTGGTTCGGTGCTGCTGACTGAAATGAAAGGCTGCCAACTATCTCGGTCAGCAGAGAATACAAATTAGGAAATTACTCCAAATAATTGCGCAATTAGTGGTTGAGTTTTGGCGAGTAATTTGATTTGAAAATCGTTCATTTTAATTTTGAAAATCGGACCAAGCTTCGAAATAAGTTGGATGTCCATATACACACTTTATATAAATTCGGCTTACAGCATACGTTTATATTCAGTATAAAATACTCAGCTTAAGTCGAACCAGATGACTTTTCCCTGGGAAAGCATGTTCTAACTCATTTAAAAGCTGGGTAAACTATGATTTAACACCTTAAGCTCAATTTGAACATATTTTAAGCTCACGTTTAGTTTACCTCGAGTTGTTTGCTTGTTGTTTTCAAAACCCATTGCCTAATTTTCACCAACTGTAGGCTATTGTCGGAACAAATTCGATAAAATTGAGCTGGAAAAGACTGTTGCCCAAGTATGCATTCTTACCCATTTAATTTTGAAATCTAGTCAATGTTGCCCTTTCCAATCTCCCAGAGCCACTCCCCAAATATTTCGATTATACGTCCTCGTTCTGGGCCATAAAGAATCCGTTCAAAAGGTTAGGCACACACGCAGGGAAAACAGAAGCTATACACCTAAGGGCTTGGGCTGAATAAACAATGCCTGTGGAGTGACCGATGGACAAAGGCTGCTCCTGCTGGCCACTTGCGCTCGGACTGGAAAAGGGGAAAAGGCGAAAAGGGGAAAAGGGCTCCATACTAGAGCCTGCTTGCTGTGCCCTGCGCACATTTCCAATGCAAATTTAGCCGGCAGAAAACTCAAATCAGAGTGAAACACACTCACATGTGTCGGCTAAACAAAAGAAAATACGACGAGGCGAACTCTGAAGTGCTTAAAATGCGTTTTGTCAACATTAAACCGAAATGGCCGGACGGCAGATAAGCGAGTCAGTTGCCTTTAGGATTTCGGGGGGGGGGGCGGCATGGGGTCTGGGGGGATGATTAATGCTGCAGAAATTGCTTTCGGATTTGCCAGTGTGCAACAGCTATAATGGCCTTTTCTGACAGCAGGATTACGGAATTCACTGAGCAAAAAAAAAAAAACAAAAAAAAAACTAGCCATTAAAATGGGCTTTATTTGCATACAGCTTGCTGTTATCCTTTGCCTGGTCTCACCATAGAAACATTTGCTGTCCGATATTTCCATTTACTTTAATAGGATGAATTTATTTATATAAAGTAGGTGGTAGATAAATGTTGGTTTATATTTTAATAAATACACATAGAGCAGAGTTCTACATTTTCAATGAATGTCTAACTATCTCAATTGGTTGAAAGTCCAACTATCTTAATTGGTTGTATCTGAAAACTCTGAGCAAATGCCACAGAACAAATTGGCTTAGTCCATATACACTTAATTCAAATAAAACAGCTAGTTTGTTTTTCCCTGTACATCCGAAACTGGCAAATGCACAAAGCCAAAGACGCTGCCCGTTTTCCCGAGAGCGGGGGGTGGTTGGTGGGCGGAGGTGGCCGGGAGGGTGGCACGGCCTGTTGCCGGGGCCAACCCTCAAGGATGCTGCAACCCTTGGGCGAGGACTCGCATCTCGGCGGGCAGAGCAACAAGCAGCGACAAAAGGCATGAATAATTCAGCCGGAGAATGCAGCTTGAAGATGCACGGAGCTGCGACTGACGGAATAACGAGCATAAATCCCGGCTAGGAACTCCGGCTCTCGAAATAATTGCTTTGAGCTGCATCGCTTGCCATGGAAATTCAGCGCCGAACTGTGACACACCGAGTTTTCCTGGACAAAGAATTATCGGAAGGCCTGCGCTGCTTTAAAGCCATTTCCCCCATCGGATTGGAGATGGAGACTTAATGCGTTAGGCGAATTATAACCACTGCCGGAAGAAGAACCCCTTCAGGTTACTCGAACTGTGGGGCGTGGCTTGACCCCAATTTTTCCGCATTTCCATGCTTCCATGTTTCCATCTTCCCATTTAAGCATTGCCAAGCTTCGCACGTATTTCCCCAGCTAAATTAGATTGCGTGTGGCATGTGGCAGAGGTAACAAAGGCAGAGGCGGCAGAGGTCGAAGCACCGCCAGGTGCAAACTGCGCTGTCGACAGCTTTGGCATCAAACCAACCAAACCCCCTATTTATTAGCATTTCCCACGTTGCGTGATAGCCACCCCTTTCGCATAAAAGAAAAGTAGAACTAAATGCAAGTTTCGCCTCTAAAAGATGACGAAAACGTATGCTCGGTTCGTAATCTCCTTTCTGTAAATTAATAATGTTCCGACAAACCCAGCAAAATCACGAAAAACCCACAGCTTAGCTTAGTGAAAAGGTAAAACAGAAGCATGGCTTACATCCCAACTTTATCCCAAACTCTATTCAGTTCAAGAAGGCTTAAGTGGTAGAACAATAAGAAATAAACTCAATGTCTCGTTAATTCGATGGGATGGAAAAGTAGGAAATAATGAGGCACTCGAGATGCAGAAGTAACTTATTGATTTGGAATGCTTCAGCGATATTTGAGTTCTTGTACTACAATGAACATATTCTTGCATAAAAAGAGTGCAAAATTTGAACATTTTAATTCCAATTTAACATTAACCGGTTTTAAGTGGGTAAAATTCGTGCAAGTGCGAACGCCTTGTGAGTAGCTCATAAAATATAACAATTAATTTAAACGAATCCTCAATCAAATCACCAAATACGCTTATGCATGCAAAAAGGTTTGTAATTTGGAATTATTCATCTGAATTATTCATGATAAAAATGTAAAGAATGTTACTTGAAAAGTATTTTATGTGATTTGTTCGTAAAAAAAGAAAATAAGTTGCAATTGCTTATCTAAGCTGGTTTATGTGGAAGAATTCTACTAGAAATTTGATTTTAAATAGTTATAAAACATTCATTGCCCAACTTGCGCCAATTGCTTGTGGGCCAATTAAACTTTAATTGAATTACAACTCTCTGAATTCCGTGGCACTCAGCCAAACGCACAAGCGTGAGTGTGAGTTCAATGTCAGTCCCTCGTTGGTCGCCAGTGGGTTAATGATGCACGACCGAGACGAACGAAAGCAAAAGGCAGAAGCCAGTGCTCCAAGTTGGAGCCACCGGAGCAGCTGGAACAGCTGGAGCAACCAGAGCAAGAAATCACAGCCCACGCGAATCGGCGAAGCGTCAAGAGAAATCATTTCATTATGGGGCAAGAGACTCAGACTCTATAAGATGCCCCCAAACCCCCGCATGCCGCACCATCCAAGCGGCCTAAGTGAATGAAAATGAAAAAGTGCTGGTGGCACACACAAGTTACGTGATCAGAATGATAAAGCCGGGCTCAGCAGGCATCGGACATATGGGTGGAGGGTCTATGCTATATGGTATGGGTGGGTGAGTAGGTGGTGGCCAGTGGATGGGTGACTGTGGTGACTGACTGATGGCGGGTGATGGTGGGTGGCTGGCACTTGAATCGAATAAATTTTCATTGTATTCGCGCTCCGGCGGATTTAGTTTCTATCATTCCGGCTTTTGTTTGATGGACTCGAGGCTCGAATTAATTAAATCGTCACCGATTGTTGTGCTGTCCAGCGGGGAAATGACCGAGTCCAAATCGGAATTGGAATCCAAATCCGAATCCGAGTCCGAGTCCGCATCAAAACGAAATTAGTGGTCAAAAATGCTGCGAAATCCGTATTGCCCTAATGGGCCTGGCAGATGTCACGGAGTTCATGGCCGCCAAATCTGGCGCAGTGTTGAAATGTAATTAAACTTTTAATTAAATGAATTAAAATACCATCTCGATGACATCTGTGGGGAAATTGTCATAGCCCCCATGGCAACGCGGATGTTGTTGGCCATAAAAAACCTCTAATGCCTACAGATTTGGGCTACACGGAAAACTCATTTTTGTACGTGTACAAATATTTGCATAAATGTGAATTATTTATATAAACGTCAGCACTGGAGTTTGTATGGCACTTGAAAACCCTTGACTTTAAAACACTGTAACTTGCATCTAACTTGAGCCAGTATTTTCCCCAGTGTACTCGGCTTGGCCTGAGTTTCTTTGAACTGCCTGCTTTTAATTGCAGACAAAGCAGGCCAAATGGAGGCCAGCTCCGTGAATGCGGTCAGCAAATGGGCGACCACGCCCACTGGTCGCCCCCATTTATTAGTTGGCCTGCGGAGCGAAAGAGAGCCCCACAAAGGCGATGGGACAGAAGAGGAAGGCGAATGTGTAACCATAAACCACCCAGTTAACCACAAAAACGATTTTGGTTCACCTCTGTATATCCAAGTTAATGCCAGGTGGGTGGTGACTTTCCGGGGTGCAGGTGGTCGGCCACCTTGTGGGTCATGCACATTCAACCCCGGTTATCCTTGCAACAGGACCCAGAGGTAATTGTTCATCACAAAAAGGTACAAAAACGGAAGCCAATGGACTTAATTGAGCAGCAAGAAAACTGAAAAGGTATAAAAAGATGGAAACTACCGCACATGTTGCTACCATACAGGAGCTTCCATTTCTAATCTTAGTCATAAGAAGTGACATCATGTTCAAATAATTATTTCTATTTAAAAACACGCCTTTTAACCAGTTCATCTAATTACCGTGCGACTTAAATAAACCTAAAAATGCGTCGCATTTTGTGCACCAAATTAGATTAGAAATATTTCCGTGTGTGCGTAATTAAACATAGAATCCTTTTCAAAGTAACGACAGGGATATGTGGAGCCAGAAAGACAGAGGGAAAAGTGCAAAAGCAACAGTCTGCTAAACATAGCCCACTTGGCAGGGTTGTCAGGTTTTCCATTTTTGTACCAGTTCCCTGCGCCCCACTCGGTTCTCTTGTTCATTTTTCGGTAGTTTTATTTGCTCATCGTCGAGTGACATTTTGGCTGACGTTGGCGGACTTCCTTCCCCGCACAACCAACAATTTGGCCAC